TCAATAGTTGCTATGGCAACCCTTGCTTGTGCTCCAAGGAGCTCAGGCCATGAACTCTTACCTGCAAAGGCACAAGTATTTGCATTAAAACACTCGTAAGTTAGCATACGTGCACGCGACTGCCATTTCTAACCTGTGGAATTTTGGTCATTACCTTGACATTCAGATGCCATTTTATTTCCTTAATGATCTTCTCACTTTCTTACGATATTAAATGTTTCCTCTCTGCTACTGAGTTGTGATTTTATGCTAGAGAGATGATAATGGGTTGTGAGTATTTATAGAGCAGCATTTGATGCCCTGTGCTTGACCGTTGCCTTAAAATCCAATTCTCGGATAGCTAAAAAAGAAATTTAATAGTCTTTACTTTAGTTTTTTCTAGTTTTACTTGATGAAAAGTCACTAGCTTAATAGATTTCCACTGTATAAATTAAATATCGGCCGAGTAAATTACTTTGATCCCTTCCATGAAAGCCCATCTATTTAATCTTATCTGCTGCGTAGATGGTTTGACTATATATTTTCTTATATATAGAAAATTAAATCTATTTCGGTGGTCAGGCTTCAAACTTTGATACTACCTCGCAACACAGGTGGGTGTATATATATATATAACGAAGCGTAATTACGTATCTAGACGATGCTCCATTGAAATGATGCAGCATGCCAATCTTGACGATAGTCAAATTATTTCTCTGACCTGAATTGTTATGCATGCAACCATTACATGTATAAGAATAAAAAACAATCAAGAACAAAACGGTGGCCATCAGGAGTTGAAGGGTTTTCTTTTTTCTTTTTTGGTTTTGTGGTGGGGGCAGCAGTATTAGTTGAAAACAATTGTAATACATACATACATATATATATACATACATACATATATATATACATACATACATATATATATACCTTTATCTAATCTCTAATGGTATTATTTTTCTTACCAACATTACTGAAAAAAATATTTTATCAGATTATTGTCTTATGCCATATTCTAATTTAAATTAATCAATACAATAGGTATTTAAATTATCCGGATTATAATCAAAGTTATATATATATATATATATATATATATATGATGAACTTCAATTAATTATATTTATTTAGTAATGATAATGAGTCCCTAAAGAATCACTTAGAACTTCCATAATAGGAAGAGTTTTAAAACTCTCAAATCACTGAATTAGATGAGAAAACATAGTAGAGGCGAATACAAATTTATGAAAAGGCTAACTCTTTTTTCTTTTCTTCACTCTAATTAAGAGTTCTGTCATTGGCAGATACTTTAAGTTACAGAGAACATACGTCCCCTCGGGAAATCTCTTAACTAATTTAGAACATACGTCCCCTCGGGAAGAATTTCACAAGGGTGCATTATTTACCAAAGCCATTATCCCTTTATCTAATCTCTAATGGTATTATTTTTCTTACCAACATTACTGAAAAAAATATTTTATCAGATTATTGTCTTATGCCATATTCTAATTTAAATTAATCAATACAATAGGTATTTAAATTATCCGGATTATAATCAAAGTATTATATATATATATATATATATATATATGTATAATTAGATTATGTGGCTATTCCTTGGATTCAATCCTTGTTTTGGGTGTGTGAGAGAGACTTATTGTGAATAATTAAAAAAAACTATATTATTATCTATAAACTTATATTTAATACGTTTAAAAAACTGCTGAAAGTTAAAAAATTTACTATTTCATAATTCATAATATGCTAGGATCCGTCTATGCTCAACCTAAAAGAAAAGTTTATCTCACATGGACCTAATCTTAAGAAAAAACTTAATATCATGAGCTCAATTTATAAGAAGAGCCCAACTCTTATGGGTTAAACATAAAAGAATAACCCAATATTTAATTAGTGAAAGATCTTAGTCCTATGAACTCGATTATATTTAAAATCATATTTTTTTTTTAAATCCTTATATTTATAAAAAATTCTTAAAAATTTTTTATATTTTCATCTTATTAATTTTTATGTAATAAATATATAGTTCTTATTAATACACATATAAAGAATACTTATATTTTATTACTGCTACTAGGATAAAGTAAAATAAAAAAATTAATTAATTATTCAATATATAAAACTTATTCTTAAATTACTTGGATTCTTTTTATCTCATCACTATCGTTTCTAAAATTTTGGAACATATTTAACTTTCATTAAACTGGGATTGCGTGAATACAGCATAACACGATAATATTGCATTCATCTGTCTCTTATTTAACAATAATATTGCATACATCTCTCTCTTATTTAGTGCAATAAGAGTTAAAAGGGTAACCATTGGTTCTCCTAATTATTTCATTTTTGGAAGAAGGATCCATGCATCACCAAGGTAATTATTGAAGCATCAACATGCGTGAGCGTTAACCGATTACAGGGACCCGAGAGTAACGATTTTGTTCCTGTAAATCCAAATGCAAGAGAAGTCTTTAGTCACAGGTGTTCCTGCCGGCACAACCTGTGTGTCCATAAGAGGATTCTGCGTCTCAATTGTCACAATAGCAACCCTCGCTTGTGCTCCTAGGAGCTCCGGCCATGAATTCTTACCTGCATATGCACAGACATTTTTGTTAAAACACACACACATTACATAAACAATATTAAATTGATTAGTTAGTTTTTTTTTTAACTCAATATTTTAAGGTTTTGATAAATCTAAACTTGTAACAAAATAATGATGTAAAAGAACACAAGCCTGACAAAATTGATAAACCTAATATACTCAAGTTTAGTTATGAAATGAGCCTATAATAATACCAATCTAATTATATTTAGGTTTAATCATGAGTTAAGCCCACCACTAAAAAGATTTAGCAAATTATTATATCTAATATACTTGGATTTAGTTATTATATGTTCAACCTAAAGCAACATAAATTTAATAAATTATCAGACTTAATACACTCAAATAAACATCTATTAAGTCTAAGTATTAAGTGAATTTAACAAATTACTATATCTAATATCCTTAAATCTAATTATATAATAAATCCAAATAATTATAGATATGGTAAATTATCAAACTTAATATACTTAAATTTAACTATAAGTTAAATTCGATATAAATTAATGAGGCAACGTGAGTCTGCAGTAATTTGCATGCAAGCATTACAATTATGAACCCAGAGAGTTTTGTTGCAAGCGTTGGCAGATAAAGTTTCATCCTGCTAAAAATCAAAGAGCAAACAGGAATGTACAACATTTGGTTTTGATCATAGAACGAAATAGAAGGATATAATACCTGTTTTTCCTCTTATATTCGTGGTGATAAGTCAATTTTTCTCACAGGTTTCATTTTCGGTCAAGAAGATGGAGGCCAAATCACGCTAACAACGATCCTTATGCCATTGAAATTAATTTCCTCTTGTGGTCGTAGTCGATTTGGTTGAACTTGCATCCTTTCAATCAAGGAGGAAATTAACCTAAATGAAATACAAGGAGGAGATTGACATTTTGCTACAAATTAAACACTTGGAAAAATTATGTTTTAACTCAAAATGACAACACAACAACAACATTCGAGCTTGTCAATTGTTTTTATTTTATTTTTGGTGTGTGTATATTACATGTCCAAGGAATTTGTTTTGCCCTTCGTTTTAATTAGTCGTTTTCCATGTTCGTAATCTAATATTAAAGGTAAATAAAGATCCCACTTAGACATGAGCTTAGCTTAGCAGTGGAAGGGGCTTGTCTTCTTTCACTGCACATGAGTTCGAGCCCTGGCGTGCACGCCTATCACCTCCACAATGCCTTACATATCTACTGGGTTTGCAGGATATTCAGTGGGCCGTGGCGATTAGTCGTGGTGCGCGCAAGCTGACCCGGACACCCCACGTAAATAAAAAAAAAAATCCTACTTAGGCTTCTTCTTTTTGAGAACTATACAAATATTTCCCCTATATTGGAGTGCAAATTTCAAATTTGGACATTAATCCGATTCTTACTTAGATCTAATATCTTAGCAAATATTTGTATAGTTTATCAATAAACATTTTTATTTTCAACGCTCACGAGTCTCACATCAACACGTGCAAAGCACAAAGTTCTTCGTAGACCCATTGCAAAAAACAACAATGAAAGATTTCGCTCGCACCTTTTATTTTGACATAAATATTTTCATACCTATGTGTTGCTAATTTGGTGATAAGAAGGTTTACTTTCTTTCATTATTTTCTTGGTTTAAAATTTAGGGTTGATATTTAGAAAAATAAAAATTTATAATTACATCAAGTTGTATGTATAATGTTATTAAATTTAACTCAATTTAATAAATTAACTTGATAATTTATTAATTCAAAACTTTATCTAAATCAAGTTTTATATCAAACAAGAGTAGATTTACCTGATCAAAAACTAGATGAGAGTTAATTGGATCATTATTTAAAAATAAAAAAATAAAATAGCATCTTTTTAGATTAAATTGAATTAAACTAAATTGATCTATCTAATTATATGACCAAGGTTTTGGGATGTAAAAATATTTTTATTATAAAAAAAAAATATGATATCTAATAAATACCTAATAAAATATTATAATTTACAATATTGACTATAATTATATTTTTTCTTGAGCAACAAGATTAAAGGTACATCTTATTTTCCCATAAAAAAATGTATTTATATTGAAATATATGCTAGCTTTTAGTAACTGAGAAATGTAGTTGTGGTTGTTTTTTAAAATATTGTATTTAAAAATATATTAAAATAATATTTGTTATTTTTAAAAAATTATTTTTGATATTACTGCATTAAAATAATCTAAAAATATAAAAAAATATTATTTTTTATTTTTTTAATTTTTTAAAATACAAAAATAAATAACCACTTAATATCTTACAAGCAACTAGAAGTATTGTTTTATCTGAATTATTATTTGCTGCGTCCTCACTTATTGGGCCGTTGGAGTAGGTAGCCGTTATCCATTCATTATCCATTGCAGCGTTATTCCTTATTAATTAACTAGCCCATGAAATTAGGGCACAACGCGCATGCTCTTCTGTAGATTTCAAGGCCAGCGAAAACAAAGTACCAAAAGAACTCAGCGATTAGAGCTGAAAGGAAAAACGAAAAAAATAAAGTTGTTTTTGTTAAGGAAAAAATATCATTCAAAGCTTCCTCTTCTTCTTCCGCTGTGATTATTTAGCTTGAGTTTGCGTGCTCCTAATACGGTAAAATCTCTCTGTCTCCCTCTCTATCCTTTTTGTTGTGGCAATTAAAGTTAGATACTTTGCTTTTACATTAGTTTGATAGGAATTGTTTGTGTGTTATAATTATTTGTCTAGAATATGATTGCGGGTTTGGTCTCTTTGGTTCTGTTGGCTTTGCTTTTAGTTGCTCGAGGGCCGTAGATTAATATGTTATTGTGAAGGAACTTGTCTTTTCTTTCTTCTTATTTCTTTTAAAAGAGAGCTGCTAATATGAATAAAGGAGGGTTTTTTCATTGTTTCCTTATTTATGTTATAATTAGAAAAATAGGAGCGAACTAGCTTATTAATGGCGGGAATTGGTTTGACTTGGATTTAATTCTTTCAAAAAATGTTTGCAACTGGCGCATGAACTAAGATGTTTTTGTAGTAGATGGAGCAATGTAGCTGTAAATCTAGATGGCTCTAGAAGATGCAATTAAGATTTGGGGTTTATTTTTTGGGGTGGGGTAGGTTGAAAAGGTTTGAATTTGAATCAAGAGAAGGCTGTATCCGTTGCTTGTTATTATATATTGTTTTTAATTAGTTATAAATGTCTATGCGGGGATGTTAAGCTTCTTCATTTTTGTTACATTACTTCATAATCATTATGTAATTTATTTTGTGAATCACATTAGTTCAATCTCTCATTACTTTTCTTTTTCTTTTTCTTTTTTCTCCCTTTTGTTTTTGGCTGGATGCATTGATCCGGATAGATAGTTGGACAATTAAACTGGCTGTTGTTTTTTTGGGCCAGTATCAGTATCAAAATTTCAAGAACTTCATTGCTTCATTGTATGTAGTTTTTAATTTGTTGAACATTATCATCATCAATCATTATCCTCTCTATTGTCATTCCTAATTCTTTCTTGCTGCCGCTAAAGCTATTTGCTTTTCATGATCCCTTAATTGATTATCATTCGCATTAAAACTCCTTGGACCGATTTCTCATGGCACAAATTCTGTCGAGATTCTTATTCTGCAACTCCATTTGGCCTCTCATTTTGTTTCCACCTTTCCATACTTGCATTCTTCCTTCTGTGAATGCTTCTGGCTTCTGTGCTTGCTTCACAGTTGCCTTGCAAGCTTCTTTTGTTAGATACATAAGATGCCGAGATCAAGGGCAAGTGGTGCATCTGCTGATGAACCAGATGTGCCTGAAAAGTCTACCGAGCATGAAGAGCAGGTTGACCTTGATGGTGACAATGAAGGCGAGGAGACAATGGAAGAAGAAGTCGAGTATGAAGAAGTAGAGGAAGAGGAGGAAGTGGAAGAGATAGAGGAAGAGGTGGAAGAGGAGGTAGAGGAGGAAGAAAATGAAGAGGCTTCTGATGAAGCAGATTCACAAAAGGGCTCAGATGGTGATGAGGAGGATGACGAGCATAGAAAACATTATGAGCTTCTTGCACTTCCTCCTCATGGGTCAGAGGTGTATCTCGGTGGCATCCCCCCTGATGCTTCTGAAGAGGATTTGAAAGAATTTTGTGAATCTATAGGAGAAGTAACAGAGGTAACTCATCTTGTCTTTGTAAAAATGCTGTCATTTTTTTTTTTTGTTTTGGATGGACTAAATCTCGTTTAAGCTGACAACAGATAAGGATAATGAAGGGAAAAGACTCAAGTGAGTCAAAAGGTTATGCTTTTGTGACTTTCAGAACAAAGGAGTTGGCTTCCAAGGCCATTGAAGAGCTGAACAATACTGAAATTAAGGTATCATGCTTCTGAGTTCTTTTATAGAAACAACATCAGCCATGAACATCACTTCAGGTTTATGCTTGCAATGGAATTTGCTTTCACTATTATCTTTCTCACTTTATGTTGTTTGAATGTTACTTTCATTTTTTTATTTTTTTGAAAGAGTTTCTGACTTCTTAGGGCATGTAGTTTCCATTTCTTTTAACCTGCCTGCTTTCTATTCAGGGTAAAAAGGTTAAGTGTTCGACATCTCAAGCAAATCATAGATTGTTTATTGGAAATGTTCCAAGAAACTGGGGAGAAGAAGATATGAAGAAGGCTGTTAAAAAGACTGGGCCAGGAGTTAATTCGGTGGAATTGCTGAAGGTTTGTGTGCTTGATTTTCTTGTACATGCATTCATAGACAACCCAGGCTGATGTTTAATCGTGTAATGATTTTTCTTGATTGCACTTCCTTATCTTCTACAGGACCCACAGAACCCAAGCCGTAATCGTGGATTTGCTTTCATTGAGTATTATAATCATGCATGTGCAGAATACTCAAGAAAAATGATGTCAAACCCAGAATTCAAGCTAGATGATAATGCTCCAACTGTGAGCTGGGCGGATCCCAAAAATGCAGGATCTTCTGCTGCTTCTCAGGTCTGCTGTATTATCATATTTTGTCCGTTATTTTCTTTAATGGAGTCTTTTGTTGACTATCAGTAAATTTAGTTGATCTGCTTGAAATGCTTTTGCACCTGTCTTGTTGCCTTCTTGGTATTGATACCAAACAGTATTATTTCTTGGAGGTTATGAAGACCATCCCTTTTCCTCTTCTCACAAGACCAAGCTAAATCAACCTTTCCATCTCTGTTTTTTTTTTTGAATATTTTTTAAAATTTTGTTTTTAGCATCTTAGGCAATTGCTCGTGCTCAACAGCAAGACAGTGTGGTTACATCTCTCGAATTGTTTATTTTGAGAGGTTTTCAAGTCATGACTGACTTAATACATCTGGTGCAGGTCAAGGCAGTGTATGTCAAGAACTTACCAGAAGATATTAATCAGGATCGTCTAAGGCAGCTGTTTGAGCATCATGGAAAAGTCACAAAAGTAGTTCTGCCACCTGCAAAACCTGGACATGAAAAGAGCAGATTTGGTTTTGTGCATTTTGCAGAGAGGTCAAGTGCCATGAAGGCATTAAAGAACACTGAGAAATATGAAATTGATGGTAATTTTCCTCAGATCTAGCATATCCTCTCTTTCTTTCACTTATGAATATTCTCGATTAATGATTGTTGCTTCTTTGTTTGGTAGGTCAAGTTTTGGATTGTTCCCTTGCAAAGCCTCAAGCAGAACTGAAGTCTTCTGGAGGGCCAAATTCACAGAAGTCATCCCAACATTCAAGCTTCCCACCTCGTGTTGGTTACAGTTTAGTTGGGAGTTCATATGGTGCTCTTGGTGCAGGATTTGGTGCTGCTGGCTTTGCGCAGGTAAGTTGATGCTAAATTGTATTCTCTCTCTCGCGCGCGCGAGTGCATGTGCACACACACACACGCACACACTTGGCTCTCTGGCACACAGAATAAGCATATTTATGGTTGTCTGCTATGGTCAATCAAAGAAGGAAACAGTTGAAAAGTTTGTCAACTTGAAGATCTGGGTTATTTCAACCTCCTTTTTTGGTTTGATGCTGAAGAGCTAGTTGCCTTTTCATTCATTTCAAGACAGAAATAAAGATGGGTTTACTTTTAATTGGCAGGAATTTGTCCTGCTGATGTCAATTTGCATGATTTTATATTTGCAAAATTTCTCTAAGGATGCTGCAGGGTAGAGTTGGCATAAACAGATTTCTTAATGTTGGTTGTCGGGTGCGACAGAATGGCACGTTGGTGACCATTTGTTTGATGTTATAAAGAAGTCAATTTGAATGCTGACTGCAAATTATTACTGATTATAATTCAGCATGATTATTTTGATTGACAATATTTGCTTGGAATGTGGAGCCCAATACATGCTTGAATTAATAACAATAAACACAATTTAATTACAACAAGAAAAGACCCAGTGAATTGTGTTGACATTAAGCAATGGGTTATCCTCATAAAAAGTATTTTTCCAATTCAAAAATTGCATTTTACATCATCACTCAAAGTGTGTGCTTGATGAGGATTAGTCTGTTCCCTTTGTTATGACATGTCTAGTGTGCATGTTTAAATTATTACAGACTTTCTGATTAAGTGTATTTGCTCATTGGCATGAAAAACCATGCAGCCAGTCATCTATGGTAGGGGACCGACTCCTGCTGGCATGGCAATGATGCCAATGCTTTTGCCTGATGGAAGGATTGGATATGTCCTGTAAGTATCACTTTTTTATAATTTTCAAAGAGTTGCATATCCAACAGGAACCAGTTTCATGTGTTATCAAGTTAGAACTCTGTATTTTTCTATTCCATTGTTTGATATTAGTTGCTCGTACTTTTCTATTGGCTGGCTGATTATTTGTCATCCTTTTATTTACCTGTTTGTCTAACAACCTCCTTTCATCACTCTGAAATGCTAACGTTTGGAAATGTACCTTGCTCTATTCTCATGTTGTAATACTAATTACCCTTAAAATATTTCTCAAATGTGTCGTGCTGAGAATTGAGCACAGCTAATCTCGGACAGTGTCATACCCTGAGCACAATGAACATGATGATTGAGCTTCTTACTATGTTGTGAAAAGATGTCTTACCCCAGTTCCTTGATGCTGCACTTGCCAGATCAGTGATTTTAATGGCGTGCAAATCCTGAATTTGATTCCTGTACTTCTACACTTCCTGCTCTGGCAGAATAATTAGTTGTCAGCCAGAATTTAAAATATCCTTATTATTTTGCCTCAGCCAACAGCCTGGAATGCAAATGCACAGCCCTCCACCACAGCCCTGGGGTGGCAGGGGTAGTGGTGCTGGTAGCTCAAGTGGTGGGAGACGTAATGATGGCGGCCGTGGACGCAGCCGATATAACCCATACTAATTTTAGCAGTGGAAATGCGAAGGGGAAGAGGAATTATTTACTGTTTGACATTGATTACTTGGATGATGAGAAAAGCTTTGTAACATCTCAAACAAGCAAGAAAATTAACTTCGTTTAGTGGAAGTGGGCCTCTATTTTTGAAAACTCCATTTACTTGCTTTATATATATATATATATATATATAGGTGGACAATCAGATTTTTGAGCATGTTGGTTCATTGTTTGTTTTTGCATCAGGTCACAGGGTAGTCCTGAGCAGTGGAGGTTGCTTTATGTTTACTGACAGCTTATTTATGTCTAGGTAAACTGAAAACAGCTTGTAGTACATCATGAATTTTTGGATGAAGCAAACGTCATCTCGTTAACCTTGCATTTCTTCTTCTGCTTGGTTAGGGCAACTTGTTGCTTCGCTCAGAAAATTCATCCAAATTGTGAAATAAGTCACATGGCAGGATCACTGGTGATATCAATTACAAAGACGCAGCTAAATAATTTTATTCATCTCGTTTAATCATATGTAGCAGCAGCACTAGGCTCTCTACCTCAAGTTTGATCCTTCGATGAGAAGACAGATTGTATTTTTTGAGCGATGGGTCTGTCATACGTTGAAAATTTGTAGCCCAGGCTCAAAGTTTAGTTACATTTAGAGCTTAAACAATGTCTTATGCCCGATCCCAGAGCTAATGGTGATCATATATTTCTACCGCCTGTTGCGTTGCTAGTGTGCTATAAGAGCATCCACACCCTTGTTCTCCAAGAGCATCCACGTTTAGCCTTCCTACCGAGGCTCTTTAGCTATTATAGCTATCATATATAAAACCCATACGTTGTTACACGTTAAAAGTCTCGCTATTCTGGCTTTGTGAATAGTGCATGATACATAGCGAGCACTGTAGCACTCTCCAATTTGTAGCGGGAGCAAAAAGGGATTTGCGGGAAAGGAAAGAGGAGGGCTTCAGTAATGTTGCATGTGCAGGGAGGAAGAAGAAAAGGATTTAAAATGGCGACAGTACCAGGATAACGGATATGGGAGGTAGTTAAGAAGAATAACTCATTTTTGGTGAAGCAGTTTAGGAGGATTTGTGAAGCATCGATAGTACCATGACTCTTCTCTTCGTTTCTCTTTTGCGTCAAGGTCAGGCTTGCTATCTTTCTCTCTCTTTTTTCCCCTCTAAATAGCTAGAACTTGCTTATAATTTGTCTTTGTAATATCATGATCTTACTTTAACAGAAAACGCCAATAAAGACCAGAACTTTGAGTCTTAATCACTTGTTTTCACGATCTAGGTCTTCCAGATCAGACTGAAATCCTTTCAAAACTCTTAAGAGCATCCACTGTTTTTACTCATTCTAAGATATGGCTCTTGACCCTTTGTTTGATTTTCCAATCTAGGCATGGGCTTTACCTTTCTGGTAGCTACCCTCATAAATATGGTATTGCTGATACTTTATCAGTGAAAGTGAATTCGATCACTTCTATTGAGACTGAGATGCCTTTTAGCTATTATAGTTTACCTTTTTGTAAGCTTTTAGAGGGTGTTAAATATAGTTTTAAAAATCTTGGTGAGGTTCTTAATGGGAGATACGATTGAGAACTCACCTTGTAAGTTAAAGATGTATGCCAATGGTTGAAAGATTTGCTACTGAAAAATGGTTGAAAGATTAGTTTGAGGTTGATCCCTTGCTTGATTCGTGATTAATAAGGTTCCTTGTTTTTCAGAATCACGTTCGTGATCATGTCCTCGTTTGCTTGTTGATCTAGGTAGAGCAACTACATAAGATATACAAGCTATGTGGTTCACCATTATATGAATACTGGAAAAAATTAAATTAAACCACTTTGTTCGTATTCATCAGTGATAGGTGTTTGTATTGTTTCCTGAATTCTGGATGAAATTAAATTAAACTAAACATGATATTGGTTTATAGACCCCCCATATGATCTTATATGTTGTTCTTCTTGCTGATGAAATCCCGGAAGCACCACTGTGTTCTTATGAATCTATGGTTCTAATTCCAAACTTCAATGCAAACCTATCCTTTAGGTTCGTTTGTTTCGTATTATGGTTTTAACTGGTTCTTTACGTGCCAATTCTCAATGGATCTAAAAATCCATGTCTTCTGGAACATATGTATTGTCATTTCATTAGTGATTGTTATTTGAGGATTTAATTGGTGGAAATTTGATGATCATGGTGGTTTTTGGCATAAAAGCTAGTTTTGGAACATATGCCTTTGGTTCAAGAGACTTTTAGCCTGCGTATTAAAACTCACTACACCTAAGCCACTGACCCGTTGAATATCAAGAATTTATGATACCACTGACCCGTAGAGAAGCTCTCTCTACGCTACTAGGGCAATGATTGAGGTAGTTAAAGCTCGTCCAATTTCTTAGAGTGTCACTTGCTGTTTGCAAAGGAGGTGCTATGGTTAAGAATATCCGTCTTTACCAGGTATACATGTAGTGCTAGTGTAGTCTGTTGTTCTATTGTTTCATTGTAATCCTTGGGGGGGTTCATTGTTGTGATGTCATTTATCTTGCAGAACATTACAAATCTTCTTGGAAACAAGACCTTGGTTTTGCCAGTGCCTGCATTCAATGTCATAAATGGAGGTTCACATGCTGATAATAAACTGGCAATGCGGGTAATTTTGATGACAAAGCTAACACATGGTTAAATGTTTTTTCAACCCCAAATTGAGTTTGCCTGATTGTTTGATTATGAACTTTGCTGATTGCTCTGAATTTGGTGGCCTGTTGCTAGCTTGTGTTCCTAGATTTGTAAATTTGACATTGAAGAATTTTAAAAGTAATCATTATTAATTTATTAAAAAAATAATTCATGACTTCCTATTTTATAGAGCATGAATGTGAGGTAATTTTCTACAGAGCTAGCTAAAAAATGGAGAGCATGGACGTTGATGCTCCAAGTCTACCTGTTTAATATATTGGTGTTGATCTTATAGATAATATGATGGTTGGTATTTATAAACCTATTGATCAATTCCTTGATCAACATGTTATCTGGAGTTTTTAATGACTTTAAAAAGCTTGAAAAGCAAATGAAAAAAAAATTCAATAAAAAAGGCTCAATTATTTACAAGATTGTCATTACATTTCATTTAATTACTGAAGAACACTCGCGGTATCAAACTAACAAAGATGTCACAAAATAAAAAATAACAATCCAGCATGCCTTCAAATCTTCATTTGAAAAAAAAAAGAGAAAAGACAGGGAATATGCTAATTCCTCAGATCTTCGCCCTCAAATCGAAAAGTGCAGATCTGAAAATGTTGATAACTGAAAGTGTCTGAACCTAAGAACAAGGCTAACCCATCATTGGCAATTGTTATAGGCATGCCTTCTAAATTGTCAGGGAACCCACTCTTCTGCCTTTGATTATCCTGGGTTTTGATAGCGATGGTTTTTTAGGGTTTTGATATTTATGGTTTTAGGGTCTTGCTCTTTGGAAAAAATTAGGGATTTGCTGTTTTTATTGTGGAGTGTCTTTAGATTGTTCACTCGAATAAAAATAAGCACAAACACCGATCTCTTAAATCCCTAGTTTTACTCTAAAGAAGCTCCCTGATTTTTCTCTAAATTAAGACCCTGATAAATTATTTCCATGAGAGAAAATAAAGACCCGACGAAAAAACTGACTGGATTTGTGAGGACAAAAAAAATTCATGGAGAGATTAACTATGGGCTTGGACAAAAATTATGTTCATGAGAACACTCTTCAATGTCACCTTCTCGACACCCGCAAAGCCCAAAGGAGACTTCTTTACAGAAGATTTTAAAGCACTTTTTATCCGAGCTTGAAATGATTTCTCCTGTTCATATTGGATCAAAAGAAGAACAACCCGAAGAGCAAACCCATTTTTTCAAAATCGAGAGAACAGAATCCAGCACTTCATGAGCCTTTTCGTCGTTGTATTCGAAAGCTTTTTCAAGCACACAACGAGCCTCACCGTTTCCATGTCGAGCACCATACCCAAGTGGCTTTGTGGTTTGAAACCAGTAGAAGAATCAGATTTTGATGGCGATAATCAAGTCAATAGATGAAAGTGTGTGAAAAGGTATAAAAAACTCGTGTCTCTTGGTCATTTTCCACCGATCCAAGAAACAAGAAATAACAAATTTCAAAAACCTCGAGTGCAAAAGTTTTCCTATCAAGGTAGAAGAACAAACCATGCTATATTTTTGTTAAGAAATTTGTTTTGTGTTCATAATTTTTAAAAGAAGGGAGTCACGAAACTACAATGCGAACAATAAAGAAAGAAAGCTACATACAAAAGCAATAATTAGGAAAATAGATAGGAGTTATTGCAAAATAAATTGTGTAAATAAAACAAATTACTAGATCACATATTGTTACATCAATAAATAAAATTTCAGGTAACTATCAAATTCTAATATTATAAAAATTATTCGAAGCAGACAAGGACCCTTATCCTTCTAATAATTGTATTTATTCATGATCAAGATCGAGGAGAATCAAAAGACAATTGCTCAAGGCTTGAGAACTAAAAAAGCAGTTACAAACTTTGAATATTCAAGATCCGAGGTTATTCAAATGGGATCGGTTCAGGGTCGGAAAAGGAGGGATTTCCAGAGAAATAACCGAAGGCACCAACAGCAACACAAATTCGGGTATGTGTGACAGACACTGCATTCTCAAATCGGTTCCCCTTCTCGGTTCTAATCAATATCTTTAAAGTTACCATGTTTCCAACTTGGTTAAGCTACTAAATAAACATTAATTAGGTATTCAACTGTACGAGAAATAATAAACATATTTATTTTAAGCACACATTATATGCCCAAGAACGCACAGATGATGACGCCCTTCCGAAGGATCTAAAATTCGGATCCTCAAGGGCACACTCTAGGGAATGTGGAGTAGATTTCGGTATCCCTCAAGGTTATTCACTCCCCTGTATTGAAAAACCTCCTAATATATGCTTCAAGCACACTGCATTTGAGCGGCACCGTATCACAAAGCTTCAAAGACTCTTCAGTGATGAACAGCTCCATCTTGATGCGCGTGTGTGGGCACTCTAAAACTGCAGCATGGAACGCTGCAACCACAGTGATACAGAACAAAATCTAACTAAACATTAAACAATCATGCAGGATCAAGTATCAGGGAGGCAAATACAAAAGATGTCTGTAAATGCACCATTCAAGGCCTTCATTGCTGAAGAGAAACTTTTTAGACAGATCCTTGTATCAAATGTTCATGCAAGAGTACAATAGAAGATCCTTGTATCAGAGGTTTGTGCTGGTGTAAGAAGTTGTGCAAATACAATGATAATACTATGGTTGGCTTTAATAAGCTTTCAAGCAATGTTTGGTTACTGTCCGGAAAAGACAAGAAAGAGACAATAAAAACAGAGAAAAAGATGGAATGAGCATTGTGTTTGATAATAATGTATGCCTCTTTATCCCATTTGATTATAATAGATAAGACAAAATAAAATATAAAAAATTCTATTTTACCTATGTATTGTTGTTGAACATGTTTTTAAAAATAATTACATAGTTTTTTTTTTAATTTAGTTTATATTAAATGTTGAAATTAATAATATTATAATAAATCTAGTTAAACCAGGACTGGCATGAAAAGTTGACTCGGAATCAAGTTAACTCGGGGCATGGACTAGTGCAAGTTTAAGAAAAAATAAAGCAAGGATTGACTTGACCTAACTCGATCAAAAACCTAAGTCAATCTGGGATAACACACAAATTAAAAATCCATTAATTTTTTAAAAGAAAACAATCAATCAAAAGGTAGCTTTGATTATTATTATTATTTTATTAATTAGGTTAACCCTCTCA